TAGGCCTGAGGTGTTCCTCAAACAAGTCGGAGCTACTCCTCTACCAACCCACTAGGCGAGGGCCCAAGCCTAAAAACTGGCAGCCGATCTCGAAGAGTGATATCTAGCTCTACATCGGAAATGGCAGTGCAATACCCAGAGTCGACTCCATTCGAGTCCTCGGCATGACCATCGAGTCCAATGGTTCCAACGGCAAGACTATACTCAAGCTCGCTGCCAAGACGGATAACGCGGTTCGGCTGGTTCGGCGGGTGGCCAGCTGCTACCAAGGCCTCAAGGACGCCAACCTAATCCGCCTGGTCAATGCCTTTGTGCTCTGCCACTTTTCATATGTCGCGGCCATGCACAATTGGCAGCGTGCTGAGCGTGACAAGATAAACGTCTTGCTCAGAATGATTACCAAGCGGGCCCTCGGTATCCCGATCAGGACGCGCACCAAGCGCCTGCTCCAGCTCGGCGTACACAATACGTTAGAGGAGATTGCCGAAGCGCAGGAGCGGGCCCAGCTCGCGCGCCTTTCGAGCTCCCAGATTGGCAGACATATACTCCGAGAGCTCGGTCACTCTCTGGCTGAAGTGGACGAGAAGATGAGACAGATGCCCCGTGAGATTCCTCATCACCGTGGCACCGATACCGAGGAATGTCCATCCCAAGCACAATCATGGTAGGCGACGGGCTAGAGCTGCCACTCTTCTCAAGCAGATTCACAGTGAGGAGCACGGCGTCAGCTTTGTCGACGCGGCAGCTTACCGTGGGAGCCGCGCCTTCTCCGCAGTTGTCGTCGACTCCAAACAGCAAATCACCAACCGCGCATCGGTTCACACTGACGATCCGACGATTGCCGAACAAGTGGCTATCGCCCTGGCCATCCTGGAATGTGAAAGGGAGGTCATCTATAGTGACTCTAGGTCAGCTATTCACGCTTTCGAGCGAGGTGTAATCTCCAAGAAAGCTCTATGCGTGCTCCAGAGTGGTGGCCGCGGCGGTATCAAGCACCACGTACTGATCTGGTTTCCTGCACACGTTGGACAGGTCCAAGGCGCTCCCCCCAACCTCATCGAGTATGCCCACGAGGCCGCGCGCGCGCTAACCGACCGCGCCGGTTCCGGGCAACGATTCGGGGCCAACGGGGTTGCGGAAAACAAGGACGCGCCTGCCACGTACAACAAAATAACAAAAAACTTTTACCTCGCGCGAAGGCTATATCCACTCCCTCATCCAAATAGGCCACAGGCCCTTACGCTCGGACTACTGCAGACCGACACGTACCCTTATTTGAGATCCCTTCACTCTATTCATCCTGACAAGTTCCCCAATGACGCTTGCCCCGCATGTGGGGATGTATCCACGCTGGCGCACATGCTCTGGGAGTGCAAGGCAATGTACACTAACCCCAACAATACATCTGTCAGGTGGGAGGCGGCCCTACACTGCTCCCTCCTGGCCGACCAACTTTGGGCCGTCCAGCAGGCTCGCGGAGCGGCCGATAGGCTTGGCCTAACGGTCCCGGCGTGGGATTCACCCGCTGTGCACTGATGCGCGCCTTGCAGGACCATAATAAAGTTTTGCAACCAACCAACTAATCCAGCGTCTCTCCACCTATTGCTAAGTGCGGTTTTCTGCCGAGACTGTTGCACATTACTTTAGTTTGGTGCATATTAATTTTCAGGCCTACTCTTCTGCTTTACGTGTCCAGTTCGGTAATCATGAGCTGTAATTCGTCTCCTGAGTTACTCATCAAGGCAATGTCATTAGCGAATTGCAGGTTACTAAAATACTCTCCACTAACTTTCCAATCTAGAGCCCTGAAAACCTCCTGTAAAGACGTGGTGAGTAGCATTGGAGAGATTGTGTCTCTGTGCCTTACACCCGTCTTTATCGGGATTCTGTCGCTTTCCTTATGGAGAATTATGGTAGCTAGGGATCCACTGTAGATTTCTTCCAGTATGTTTATGTAGGGTTTGTTGATGTCCTGCTTTCGTAGTACCTGTATTACTGCTGATGTCTCTGCATTTTATGTCAATACTCCTTGAATACTAATTACGTTGCTCAAACATGGGCGCCCACTTTTGAAACAGACCTAGTGCTTGAATAAACAGCATTGTCCCCTCTGACCTGCTGGGTTCCGCAAAGGTGGTCCATCGTCCAGTCTCCTCTCGTCAGATTCACTCCGTGAAAATGTGTTTTGATATTTGATGTCTTTTTTGAACACTGAGAGCAAGAAATACCTAAGGCTGCATGTCCATGGTGAGCAGACGACTTTTGTGGATTAGAAAAAAGTGATAATTGTTCCGATTAGAAGTCAATGTACTGTCTTACTTGACTGACTGTACTAATTTGTGTAACCAGTTTGGTTTTGGCTAGTTATAAGGAAATAGTAGTAGCGTGCTAGTGTACCTCTAGAAGGCTTGATGCAGGGCACAAGTTTTAATATTTCACATGGGCGGGCAGTTCCACCTGCTGCAGTTAGATGTGGAATTTTTTTCTTAGATGTATGATGTTTCGGTGTGCATCTCGTTTGGGCTCCTCAAATAGTACGTGTTCAAAAGGGTGTCAATAGTGACTGCGTACACTGCAGGTTTCATGGAGCGCTGCTCAGATTTTAGGCATAAAAGATTAGTTAGTAAAGCCTGTTTGTAAATGTGCATGAACCGGAATTCTAAGGATTGTGTTTTTAAAGCACAACAGCAGCTCTACTCAGGGAAAGTGCAGGTTTTGCTAAAAGCACAAATGTGATCAAAATGACTTTATTGGATGCTTTATAAAAGTAGAATGCATGAGAAGTTGAAGCATCCAGGAAAGTCCTTTCCTTTACAAATATGAAATGATAGGAGGCCCAAGGGCACGTTATTTTAGCACTGTCTATGCAAAAAGTAAAAGCGATGACTGCATTTTATCTTCAAGGGTATTTATTGAAGACAACGTGCATGCAAGCATGCACGAATTGGCTTTGTTAAACATGTACAACCGCTCCATCTTGGTGTCATTTGTGCTCAAAAAGGAGTGACAGGTATGCTCCAGATGAAAGTTGTACTGCTCCAAAGTGTAGTTTTAGGTGCTCCGGAAGCTGTGCTAAAATGGCTTTGAGTGATCACATCCCTGCACAAGTGATCATATTGTTTACATAAATGCCTGTTAACACTCCTGAGTCATTATTTGTTCACAGATTGTTCTAAGCTGACTTTTGTTTTTATTTTTTTGTGAAGTGCATTGTAGACAGCATAATTCCTCTGCAAATCCCTTAAAATGTGGTCACAAAAAGATGGCAGCAAAGTCGCTACGTGCCCCTTGTTGACTAAAGGCACAAACACCTATGCAGGTCGAATTGGTGACACTTGACTGGTGGAAGAGGTGCCATGAAGCGTGTATTTCTTGTTTATTATTTGTTTTATTTCTTCGACAATACTGCCAACTTCTGGTGAAGTTGTTGTAGAGTGAAGTTACCATCGAAAATGATGTATAGAATTTTTTAGGGAAAACAGTAGTGTAAAATGTAGAAAATATGAAGCAAAGAACTGACACAACTCGTTAAGCACAACAGGGGCACAAAATGTGTAATGACAAAATGAAGCAAAGAAAGGAACAAAGATAATCTGCTTAAGCATAAATATAAGGGAAAGGCATGTAGTACAAGGAAAGGAACTTCACGCAATCAACTTCTGTGCTGTTGGTTTCTCCGTTGGGTGCATCTAGGGCATTTCACTGTCATTTTATGTGGAGCGATTGAAAAACAGTGTCACATCCTGGTATCGTAGCCTGTTGAAAAATGCACATATTTGGTTGTTCTGCCGTTGAGGTGACCTTTACTTGTCTAAACATAAAACGTAGTCGTGCGATTTTATTTCTTCTCTGGGGTGTGCTTTATATTAGACTTCTTCACCAAGCCTGAGAGCGAGACCCTATCTAAGTGATTAAAAATAAATATTATAAATCTTACGGCTTTGTTCTGGACCCTTTCTTGTTTAATAATATTGGATTGAGTAAACGAGTCTCAAACATGATTATTGTACTCTAGAGTAGGTAAGACTAGTGTTTAAAAATGCTTGTAAGCTTTGTATCACATGAAGGATGAAAAGGGAGCATTTTAACTAATGTAGTTTAGAAATTGCTGTGTTAGTAATCTCTGTTATGTGGTTATTCTAGCGCAGGTCGTTGTGAATGTCAAGACCAAAGTACTTATAGCACTCGGCATCAGGCTATTACCGTGAATTGCGTAGTCAAATGAGTGTACCATATATGTGCTTTACTTGTGATGACATGACAACACTTTCTTCAAGATTTACTGACATTTGCCATGTATTGCACAATTGAAAAGGCTGAATAACAAAGTTCAGTTGCAGTTGAATATTAATAGATTTAATAATTGTTGCTTTCAAATTTGCTGCTATGTTTTGTGTTTAATTTTTTAAAGTACAGATTGCACGGCATCCTGTAAGGCTAATGTACTTGCCGTTAACTTCATTGTTCTTGTTCTACCAATATATTCTCATATTAATACCGTAATGTGGAGAAAATTTCATATGATTCATAGATGCATATCAGTGTTGTTCTCACAGTTCTTGCATATCTTTTTTTTTACAATTCGGCTACCTTGCAGCTCAACAATAGCATTGGTTTTGTAAACTAACAGGAGGTCCTCTTACAGCCATGCATGTTTTTAATCATTTATTACTACACCTCGTAGTATCTTGCTAAGACATTACTTTCTAGAAAGAAGGTATTGCATTACGATATTTCTTCTTTTTTTGTCTTGTGTCAGTGGAATATATTTCTAGCTCGAAGGCTAGTGTACACTCACTTGCAGCTTCTGTTTATGCTGTGAAACTTCTGTAATTACCTCTGGTGGGGCATGTATAAAACCAGTAGTGAACATCAAAGGCAGACGTTCAGCGGCAGGTTATGTTTTCATTAGTGCTGCACAACTGCTGGTTTCCGCTCATTTGATAGTGCACCCAGTAGCCCAGTTCATCGCTTCCTTGTTTTTCTGACTTTGCTTGCAGAGCCACAAAGCAAGTCCCAGTGCAAGTGCAGTCGTGGCTGCGCCTAGGCCGTCAGTGCTACCCGCGCGTAAAATGTTTCAGCCATCCCGCAAGACTGGAGGCACTAGCCCACTGGGAGCCTCTGTTGCAGGTGCAACAAATTCACAAACAACCTTCAGCTTCGTTCCCGCAGGTAAGTGTACAAAAAGAATCTTCATGCTAGTACCACAGTTGTTTTACTTTAACCCTTTGAGGGTCACATTTTTCCAAAAAAAAGACTGTTGCAGCTGCTCTCGTTACATTATTGCAGTTTTTAAATGACCCAAATGTTTTTGCGCTATATAAGTACAATACTAGCGTCTCAGACATCATCATACAAATATTTCGGCATTAATCTTACATGACACCTTTCACAGGCCTCTTACATCATAACGATATGTGCTTACACTTCCTAATCTCTTGGGTATATTACCTGTAACCTATGTAAATGCCTATTTAAGATCCTTAAACGAGTAGCTTTTTTAAAGCGCCAGTAAACAGGCTCCAACTTTTTTTTTACACCCTTCAAATAAGCTCAACGATTTGTAGAGCAGACTCGGGCAATCACTTTTTTCAAATATTGCAGCGCTGGGTGCCACATGGAGCCTCCATTTCAAAAACAACTTTCGCGCTCCTTACCTATCTGACCAATCCTTCTTTCACGCACAGTGATGCAAAGTGGCCAATCAGCGGCTCGACCTAGCTTGCAACTCAACCACTGGTCTAAACCAGCCACGTGATGGGCTATGCCTACCCCTCCCTGTGAGGAGAAGGGGTGGCGAGGCCACGTGAAAATTTGGAATCGGTTGATACCGATGTTCTAACCCCCTGTAACTTCCTTAATATAGAACGTTTTCGCAAAGTTCTTGCGACAGAAGTGTTGTGGCTCGGGCGAGTTGGTTATCCATGAACTTAGCTTCTATTAGCGCGGCACATATGAAAAGGAAAGAGGAAAGAATACAGAGACGTCAAGACAGGTAGGCGCTAAACTTCCAACTGTTTATTTCATGCACTTGACACCCATCTTATACATGCGTAGAAACACGACTCATCTTGCACATGGTGACATCCCAAGAAACGTCATTTCCTTATCTGTCAAAGCAATCGAAGGTGAACTCACACACAAGTTCCCCATTTTTTCTATTGCCTCGGCTTCTTTGATCTCACGTGTCAGCTAAGGAAATGACGTTTCTTGGGATGTCACCATGTGCAAGATGAGTCGTGTTTCTACGCATGTATAAGATGGGTGTCAAGTGCATGAAATAAACAGTTGGAAGTTTAGCGCCTACCTGTCTTGACGTCTCTGTATTCTTTCCTCTTTCCTTTTCATATGTGCCGCGCTAATAGAAGCTAAGTTCTTGCGACAGCATGCCCACAGCACAAAAGTGCACATATTTCTCTTTATAACAATTTTCGAACGTCGAGTTTGTTTACTGGCCCTTTATAGTATGGGGGATGGCGGCTTGAATTTGTGTTTCTTATACTATTGGTAGTCTTTGCAGCCCCTCCGCGGTGGGCTAGTGGCTAAAGTACTTGGCTGCTGACCCGCAGGTCCCTGGATCAAATGTCGGCTGCAACGATTGCATTTTCGATGGAGGTGAAAATGCTGTAGGTCCGTGTGCTCATATGTGGGGGCACGTTAAACAACCCCAGGTGGTTAAAATTTCCAGAGCCCTTTACTACGGTGTCTCTCATAGTCATATGGTGGTTTTGGGACGTTAAACCTCAAATATCAACCAAATACCAATCAGATAGTCTTCGCAACAAGAATGCCTAGTTTTTGTGTTAGAAGCTATTAAAAATCGAGCAAGTAAATTTATTTTCCACAATTATATGACTAAATTGAAGTACATTGTCATCTGTGAGTGCCATAGACCTAGCATTTAAAGTTTGAGGAAATTTCGAGTCAGTGTTGCAAAAGAGAAAAAAAAAAATACATTTTGCAACTTTTTAAATGTACTCTGATTTCTGTGTGAAATATAAAAATGAAGCTTCATCTTTGATTTTCTTTGCTAATAATGAACTTATGGCAATGAAACATGTGGCATTAGAGTTCTCAGTGTCCAGTTTGTCCATCTAAACCAAGTCATTGTTAGCTGTCCGTTCAATACCATTCAGGATTCCACCTAACCTGGCAACCTGTCACATCGAAGTTGCTGCTGGTCATTATAAAACCGTTTTCAAATAATTAACCATCATGCACTCGAGTAATTAACCATCATGCACTTGAGCAGTCGAGTTTTTCAGTAGGGATAAGTGGATCGTTAGCTACTTATTGCAATAGAAATAAGCAAGATGTTAAATTTTTTGTGTCTGTAGTACACCATTAAGTAAGCTCACAGCTCGGTGACACTGCCAGTGCGAATCTACGACTAGCCGTGTCCGCGATGAAGCGGAAGGGCCTTGTAGTTCTGACATTATGATTGGGAAACCTTTTGTTTTGCTCACAAAAACATGTAGTGTAAAAACTGCTTCTTTGTCTCTTTATTACAATGTAATTGTCAGAGCTTGTCAAGAATTGCTGCAGTGACGTGAGGGATTTTGGTGAAAAAGCATGGTGCTGGATTTCGTTTCTCATAGAGCACTTCAGTAGTAAAATAAGTTGAGTTGAATAACATGCCTTTTTCTACAGCTAGTCTTGTAGAGCAAATCTTATTGAATGTGACAAAATACTTGATAAACCAATGCACAGGAAAAACAATAAAAAGCCTATCAAAGATGTGTACAATGATTACACTGCCATCTCCCCCTACATGTCTCTCCACCTGCATTCACCGCAGCCCTCCACGGGCATGAAATGTGAATACTGTAAAGATGTGTCAACAGCAACAACGCTGCTAAGAAAAGCCAGTTGTTTTACAGTCAAGGTGACTGATGGCTTGTCGTCGTACATGCTTCGTGTCACACATGTGGCCAAGTGCAATGTGAATGCTCATTTCGTGTAGCAATAAGATAATGTTTGCGTGCATTAATGTGTTGTGTACCCAGTCTCGCTTTTCTTGGAGTACCTGCAGGGGCGTCTGCGTCAGCAGGCATTTGGTGTGTAGCTGTGTAGCGACACCACGGACCCGAGCTAACGTTGGGGTTTCGACTCACTCCCAGGCCTAGCCGTGCGTGGCGGAGCCGTGTCCGGCAAAAGGGGAATCCTGGGGGGTTGAGCCGACGCCGGGTGATTGGACCTCTAAGGCCCCCTGGCAGAGGCAACACACCCCTTTGGCCCCGGCTTCACGTAGACAGCGCCGCTGGACTGACTCACCCAGTGGAAATCGGCAGTTGCATTTTCCTATCCCTCTCTCCTTGTCTACATCTTCGTCGTTGCTATCACTGTTTATCTTTCCTGTCTTCTTGTTTCTTTTCGTTTACTTCCCATTTTCCTGGCGGCGAGGGTTAACCCTGTGCAAGTAGCCTACCTTGGTCTAGGTACATTGGGTTTAGTGGCGTTGTACGACTGGCGTTGGCAAGCTTTCAGTATTTACAAACTTGTAGCGTCCCCTCGTTGGGCTCCATGGTGGGTGGTCGCCAACACTGCTGAATAAAAATAAAACCGCCATGCATAGAGCATTCCGCTTACTTATGGTGCATTCAGACGACGGATCGAATCCCGATGTGGCGGGACGGACGGCGCGTCACGTGACCTCACATCAGCGATTCCCCTCGTCCGCGACTCGTCCGCGCGGCTCGCGGACGGATGAACCCAACCTGTTTCTCACATCGGGATTCTGGCGGGGGAGAGCCGGTACTTCAGCGGAATAGCTTGGGGTCGGTGGCAACCAGTACAGTTTTCGTCTGCTCGCGGCATGTCCTCCATGGCTCGCGGACAGCTGCATGACCGGTCGGCATCATCTACGCTTGAGCATTGTTTACTTAGTTTCCGGAGACTTTGTTCTCAGGTGATTAAATATGCAGAAATCACTTTTCGTGGTTCGGGAAATGTCGCCGCCGTCGCTTAACTAGCGAGATTCTTAGCCGTCATGGTGGTGAAATATTCCAACTTCTGCAACCGGCGACGTGCCGCTTCTAAAAAAAAAAAGGTGGGAGACACGTTTAGAAGTTCTACAAGTGGGGAATAATGTAGTTGAAAGAATATCCTGCTGGCAACTCCCTTTTTCTCCTGAAAGAATAACACTACTCGTTCATTTGTCACAACACGACAGACATCGCAGCCAAGCTTCGCTTCTTGCGGGCATCCATGTTGAATACTCTCAAACCGGTCTGCTGCCAGCGGGCGCAGGTGAGCGCCGAATCTGCTGTCGAGGGTAATCCGGCTGTTTTCCCCTAGGACACCGTCCGTCGTGTGGATGCGCCTGCAGGCGGACCATCCGCGGATTAGCTGTCCGCGTCCACGACAAATCCGGATTCGGTCCGTCGTCTGAATGCACCATTACCGATCGTACCGGCTTGATGCGGGTACGCCCCGATGGCATGAACTTTTTCAACAGGCCAATCGAAACATTTCCTCGCTTTCATGTCATCCACTGTGAGTAAACTGGAAAACAAGCCAGGACCATCTCTCCCTTCTTAGTTGCTAGATGTCTTACCGAAACTCTTGGCGCTGGATTCAAGGTAACCAAAATGGCTAGCAGAGACCTCCTTCTCGAAATTCGGAACAAAGGACAATTTGAAAAGCTAGACCGTCTTTCAGCTTTCGGTGACACAACGATAACCGTAACACCACACAGATCCATGAACACAACTCGCGGAGTGGTATCTGACACGGACTTATTTGACCTGACTGAGATCGAACTTCTGGAGGGGTGGAAGAGCCAAAATGTGACTAATGTACAGAGAATTATCATCAGAAGAGACAAAAAGGAAACACCAACGAAACACCCAATACTCACATTTGCTTCCAGGAAATTGCCAGAAACCATTCAAACAGGGTACACGAAAACTTCAATCAGGCTGTACGTACCAAACCCCCGTCGTTGTTGCTTCCAGTGTCAGAGGTATGGCCATGGCTCTAAAAGCTGTCATGGTAGCCAGACCTGTGCACAATGTGAAGCCCTGGGCCACGTGTCTGAGAACTGCAAAGAGCAGCCGCACTGTGTAAACTGTGACGGAAACCATGCTGCATATTCACGTTCCTGTCCATACTGGAGGAAAGAAAAGGAGATAACAACGGGGAAAGTGAAAGAAAACATTTTTTTTAAGGAA